CTCTCCCTCTCTCCCTCTCTCCCTCTCTCCCTCTCTCCCTCTCTCCCTCTTCTTCTCTCGCCACTACCTCTCTCTCCCTTTAACCGAAAGCTAAAACTTGAGCTAACTGTTCAAGGACCTCATCGAAATGGTCCTAAAGAGTTATCCAAACCCCACTAGGACAATATGAAAAAGGGATTACAATATTAACTTCTCTGCCAGTTAAAGCCGATGGTATTCTAGAAAAATTTGTCGTACTTAAGTTGCAAAGAGTATCAAAGTAAACTGATTTTAAGGTTAATATATATACTCCAAGAAGTACTGATATCCCGGTACCACTACCGAGGCTTCAGAAAAGATGACTAGCGCCATAAATTTTGGTTTCTTCAAACTGGATAATGAAACGAGACGAGCGGGTTCGATTAGAGGATGAGCACAAATAAGGAGCTCACGCATACGTGAATTGGGTCCCACATTATTCCAGGGTTTATCCTGTCTAGAAACCAGCATAAGCACCAACGACAATGCCAATCTTGAAATCCAATGCAGAATCACTCTTGCAATCTAGACAATTGAAAAATTATGTCTACTCTCGACAAACTAAAACCAAAGTCCACAAGTCTACCTTCAATCCCGTCCTGTGTTTGGTGCAGATGTGTAGACGATGACAACGTGCGATGAGTCGGCTTCGGAAGAAAGGTTTTATAGAAGATTTATTTTCATAAGACCACAGACGGCTAGGAATGTTAAGCTCCCCGAGTGTTTTCCTGACATGAAATGAAAACCTCCTCATAAAAATCCATCAGCCGTACGAAGGCGGCTTAAAATAAACTGCAGGTATCTCTATTTGTTGGAAGTATATCAAGACGCAAAACCACAAATTGAAGGAAGAGCTCAGCCGGTCTTGTCATCTGGTTAGGCTTGAAGTTTATAGTAAAAGAGAGAAACCTCACTCTGTTGGAAGAATCAAGTGGAGTTATACTTGGTTTCACTTGGTAGTTCCAATTGCTTCTGTGAGCAGAGGAAACAACTGGTTCGCTTTTCTTGATGGCGATTTATTCACCTGCCCTACTTAAAAAGAACATGAAGCAGTTTATAAGAAAATTGTAGTTGATTTCTTTAAGATGTAGGGAAGGGTGGGCTCCCTTTCAGACTTCCGCTGGTTTTCAATCATCCGTCTGTTGAGACTTTTGATCTTTTCCAGACATAACTCTCGAACGGCAAGGCGAGATCTTGTCAGCAAAATGTGTAATAAATTTCGGTGGAAGATTTTGCCGAAATCCTCCGACTTCCAAGCCAGTAAAAAGAGCGCTGTATAAGACTGTGTGTGTTCTTGTATTGTTTTTGTTTTCCCAAAAAGCCTGTATTAACCCAAAAATTTGAACCATAGCAATTTTCACATTCCACAGCCTCCCCAGCTAATCAAAAATCGCATGTGAAACGCTGAAGAGAAAAAGAAGAAGAAGAAGAAGAAGAAGAAAGTGCAACAGCAATGTGTGGACTATATCTGAGCATCAGCAATTCGCATAGTTAAAATATTTCAAATTTAATGAAGCGCACATTTTATTGCGGCAATTAATTACAGGCGTTGGCCGCCGGCTGCTGACTGCTAACTGCTGGCTGCTGAAGATCTGCGTAACACAATCTCAACTCAAACAACTAGATGAGTGGCGAGTACTACGACTAGTATTACAAGTGGAGGTACAAATTGTGCATTGGACGGCTAAGCGCATGAAGGATGTGAACTACAAAATTTGCGCTGTCAACTACCGGACACTGGTAAAGTACCGACGGCCGCGGAGACATTCCATTTTATATGACTTAAACACGAATTGCTTAGCTTGTAATTCATACAAATCTACTAATCTCTGTTGGTGTGTGTGTGTGTGTGTATGTGTGTGTGCTTGAGTGCGTAAAAGATTTAACAGATCACAAAAGTAAGCCAAACATTAGTAGAATGTGTTGGGCGTTGTTGGACGTTAAGCGACATAAAGTCTAAAACAAACTGTTACAGCCAACACACGATCGCCTTCCACGATCTCGAGTTGTGGAACGCGCCAATTGCGAACTATGTAACATACTCGTACATACCGTATGTACATATGTGAGATCTAGGAGATGTGCTATGTGTGATAGCGAGGTGAGTGAGAGAGTTGTGTTGGCGTAGAAATTGAGCAGCGCACAGTGGGAAAGAAATGAGAGAAATTTTCCCTGAAGGAATGACAGAAACGACTAGAGTGGAAAGAGACAACGATATTTGAACAAAAGAATCTCTGCATCTCTGTGTTCAACAACTCCATTTTCCTAACCTATAAAAGACCAAAGCTAAATGCGACCCCTACCTTATGAAGCGGTCAATTGACCCCCCTTAGAATCAGGCCAGTTAGTCTATGTCATTGAGGTCATCTACCGTGAAGGCCAAGAAACGTGCTTTTTCTACTGGTTCGGACCAGAGATGAGAGGCGTGAGTAGGTTTTAGTAGTCATGCATAGAGGTGGCTAGTATTGAACGTTAAGTACTTGGAGTTCAAGACTAGATAAGTAAGAGATGAGTTTACTACAGTATACGACCTTAATTGTGCCAGTATTACTCGGGTCTAGTGCGAGGCAGCTTAAGCTCTTTGTTTGCTATGAATGCTGGTTGGATACCGATAACGCTATGCGCAGAAAGTAAGTTAATAAAGATGGCGCTTAGCATCAGTAGCAAGCTGGTCGCGTCAGTCATGCTCCGATTGTATAATGCTAAATAGAGTCCGTTAAGCCAATTACTTTCTTCCGGACATATCTTAGAAATGGTTCAGCTTCTACAGATATCGGGAAAGGTGATCCCGGTGTTAGCAACTCAGCAGTAACTGCTTACACAGCAAGAGCTCCAAGGTCTTTAATTGAGAGCTTGGATGTTTTCCTAGGCCTTTGGTGTATAGTTGACATCAAAAGCTGTCTCGTTATGGTACTCAAGGCACTCTCAGCTTTTTCACCCGCAACCCGCTGATCCTCAATGTCCGCAACGGCGCAGCGTAGTTTATTACCAGTCTCCCAATCGCCCTTGTAGGTTTCTTTGTCTTTTCCTCAGGTGCTGCTGCCTTTGCCGACTTTTGAGGCAATCGCAGTCAAGTGCAGTCTTTCAAATGTAGCCACTTGACATCTTTAAGCGGTGTTGACCTAATCACTGAGCTTCGCTGGCCGCTCACTTCGTTTTCTCACCTTGATATTAGATCCTCGTCTTTAACTTTCGGGTTTCGGCTGCTAGTTTTGCCTTAGGCACAGAAGCTGAGAGGTCGCGATTTTTCTACTCATCAGCGTGCATCCTTTTAGCGTGCCGAAAAGGTACATTTTGAGTATTATTTTCCGATCTGATTTCGGCAAGCGTGAAAGGTTTTTGCTTGGGAAACTACCTAATAAGATGGGCCTTTACTCAGTTAAGCCTACATCAGCTGTAATCAGACAGATCTAGCTATCGATCGAAGAGAGGAAAACTGAGTTTCTACTCCTACTGCATAATACGAGACATAGGAGGACCTGAGGGAGAAGGCGTCGGTATAGGAGATGTGACATCCCACTACCCAGCCCTCAGTGCAATCCGACACCGACTTGGATCTCTACGCGAAGCTTACTATAGCAAGCTTACATGAGTTTCATAAAACGTACTGACATTGGCATAGTTCAGCGATTTAGGAGACCAGCTAGGTCGCGTAAGATCGGTATAGACGAAAAAACCCCGCTGCTGAAAGCACTCGACGCAGCATACGCTGGTGAAAGTAAAAAAGAGGAAGGGCTCTTCTCCGGTGGAAGGGTTAGGTGGAGAAGAACCTGGATTTACTTGGTTTTTCCTATTGCTACGATTTAGCCAACCGAAAGAAGAAAAAAACCACATTCCAAGGAAGCAGTAGAAGAAGATTCAAGTTCTGGTAGGGGTTGGCCGCCACTCGCATCTGGAAAGTGGCTTAGTTTCGCTTGATACTGCCTGCTGTTGCCAAATCTATGAATGAAGTGATGATCACCGACTATTCTAGATACTACAGTTAAGAAGAAACCCAAATTAACCACAGTAACCCACCGTACGGTTACCCACAATGCAGCTCTAAAGTTTATTTGGCATTAACTCTTGACAGCGGCAATAAACACATTGGCTCAAACAGAGAGCGCGGCTCAATATCAAACACGGAGAACAGTGGAGAGAGAAAAAGAGTGAGAGAACGACACCACTAACCAAGCGGAGCGCAAGCCAGCGAGCGTACGCAGCTGAGCCAAACCTTAAGCGAAACGACGTTGAACAAATTGCCAACACTTTCTTGGCTACGCTCAGACCGAGCGAGTTACATATTGAAACAACGATTGTGGGCAGTGGAGATGCTGGATCGAAGGGTTGGATGGATGGATGGATGGATGGCCAGGCAATTGGCAGTAGCAGCAACTTGGTGTAGCGGCGTGTTGACAACATTTAACGTTAGCACTGTTGACGCATTTTATGGCCATTATCGTCTGTCGGCGACTGTCGTCGGCTGTTGGCGTCGCTGCTTTGCTGCTCCTTTTATTGTTAATTTTATTTATTGTTTTGTTGTCGTCGTGCCTTTTAAGCCAGCCGTTTTTCGGCTTAATCGCGGCTGCGCTGTTCGATGATCGTCAGTCGTCTTAGCCAGCAAGTGACAGCAACAAGTGTTGAACTGAGCGGAGCTTGTGTATATGTGTGTGTGAACCTCATGAGCTTGGCTGTTACTGGCTTGATTTTTGGCGTTTTTCTGAGCCGATCTCGTGCGCAGCACTTAACGGCACTGCAACATAACGTATTCTGACGTGCAGCGTGACAGTTCAATGCGGATCAAACGCGCGTGTTGTCGAGCTTGCAAGTGTTTTTGAGAGAACGCACGCGGTAGCAAAGAAAACTGAAGAGTTGAAGAAATTCAAAAATAAATCAAAAAAAAAGTGTTTGTGTTTGGAAAAATAGAAAATAAAAAAAATTCAAAAAATATAAGGAGAAAAAAAGAAAAAATATATTTTATTTTTGTTATGAACGATATTAGAATGGGCTTTAAGCATACCATGTTGCAACGTCTGCAAAACTACGAAGCTTATCCCTCCACCAAATCCACACCTAGCAGTAATGCCTCCGAGTCGGGTGATGAGCAGACATCGCAACCTGCCTCCCAGGTCACCGATTTCAGCATTAGTCGCATACTCGGCGTTGAATCTCAACAGAAAAATACCACCAAAGTGCCCACGATCAGTGTAAAGACCAATTTAGCCGCAGTCGTGCCGGGTACAACCACGCCACCAGCTACCAGCATCAGCACGGATATACTTGATCTGTCGAAATCATCGCCTACCACACCAGAGCACAAATCACCCGTGCCAATATTGATGCGCCAGCAACCCGCCTATCCCACACCCACCTATCAGCCCTTTCATCCCGACTTCTTGGCCGCTGCCGCCGCCGCAAATGCAACAAAGTTCTACGCACAATTCTTTCCGCATATGTTCGCTCCATACACCTTACCTGCATTTAATGTGCCCCCCTCAACAGCAACAACTTACCAGAAGCAGCGTTACTTTGCGCCGTACATACTAAACCCGCCGCCGGGCGCGTCCACAGCACCCACGTCGTGTGTTAACCCCCGCTCGACGTCGACTTTATCGCATCAACCACATCCGACGCATGCGCCACACTCGCCTGCAGCCGCGAAAACCCTGTGTCCACGCGCCGCAAGTTGCACGGATTGCTTTGATTTTTATAAACAGTATCCTGCTTATGCGAAATCGCCTTTGCCGTCGGTACCTTCTTCGCCTGCATCGTCTACATCCTCCGCTTGTCATTCTTCGTTTAGCACAAATTATTTTAAAACCAAATCATCCGCCGAAATCAATCCTACTACGCTACTCAAATCCTCGTCGATCGCTCTCACAACCATTGCAAATTTTAATCTAACAACAAAAACAACAAAGCTATGTACGAGTAGTCCAACCTCCGTGGCGACTTTGAATGCCGAAGAAGTGAGCTATAAATGCTGTATCTGCGACAAGGTGTTCGGTTGCTCGCAAACTCTGCAGGTGAGTGGTAATGTTATATGTGCAAAGAGGGTCTTGAGTAAAATATTGTTGGTTTCGGCTAAATTATCCTACCAACGTAGTGAAGGTCCTTCGCTTTCTCTGCTTCCACCAGCGGATACTGCATGGACTACTTTTAAGATTGAAGTATTTTCGTCCACCCGATGATCGTTTCATCCTGTAGGCCTTTCTTTCGTATAACCCCAAACCAACTTCTCTGATGTTGTCATGGTCCATGATCCAGTTCCACAAAGTAGGACGGGAATGATAAGCAACTTGTAGTGTTGAGTTTTTGTTCAGGGAAAGCGGACTATACTTTTCAAGTGCCCACTCAGTCTAAAGTATTACTGTGAACAAAGACGAGGAAGCTATGAACAGTAGGTTAAAAGTTCACATGGTTCATCTGAAGCGTCGGTTACTAACTAAAGGTTCGAAGTCATCCATCGCTGTTCTTACAAACCTTTTGGGTAAGATAATTTCCCACTTCTATTGCCGAGATACCAGACTCAGAAATAGTGTCATAGTTCGAGGCAATCAAAGGCCGATTTAAATCCCTCTTTCGGCTTAAAAGAGGCCCATTCAAGGTAGGATACCTGCTGGGTGTCTGGTGTTCTATACCGAATTGTTGAAGATCTGGGTACTCAGTGAAAAAGTAGGCAACCATGTCTTCATTCCTTTCAATTTTCACCAACGGCTGTGAGTCTTTATACGCTCTTTCTGTTTAAAAGGTCCTTTGCTCTTATCCTGTTATACTTGGGCGAAATCTGCTACGCTATTTTGAACATAGATTTCAGTTTTTTCCGAGCTATTTCCTGGCGGACATGATATTAACCCCCTACCTACTTGTGCTACAAATATTCCAGTGGCCGGTGACCTAAATTATGGTTATATCGCTTTGATCTGCCAGTTAGCCTAAGACCTTTCCATTATACAGCATTCATTGGATCTTTACAAGCCTTATACAGGCCAAGGGGATCATAATTTTGGCACTTTGTAACCGCTTCTTCTCTAATTTGTGTTACAAAACCGCCTCCGAACGGCTGATGGATTTTTATTACGAGCTTTTGCTTCCATCTCAGAAATAAGCTCGGAGGGCTACCAAAACTAGCTTGCTTGTGGCGTTGAATACCAGAGCATCTAACCTCTCACATACCAAAACGATTGGTCGGTGATTGAGAATCATATCTCTCCAGAGGTGGCCCTACCAAACTAACTAATCGTGAACTTGTTGAGGTGGAGACTGTGCCACAGACTGCCACCAGACTGCCTCATCTCAGTATATGCCCAACGAAACAGATATCGTAAATAACAAAACTCCAGCGTGATGCAATGTAATGTCTTTAGACGCCAAGTAAAGGACGCCAAAAAAATGCTTACTCTTACTGGAGCCTACCAGTAGCTATTGCTACGGCCAACCAGAGAAAGCGCCTCTTCGTGGCGAGGAAAATATCTATTCCGCTAAAGAGTAAGTCCAAACCATCTCAGGGGTTAGCAGAGGTCAAACTTAATAAGTCCAAACAGTACAAAAACTATGTAAGGTTAAGCTCCAATACTGCACAATCTTCTAATCCGTCTAGAGCAGCGGAGCAAATGACTCAAATCGGCGGCTCGGCTGTCCAAAACCTTAACAACTGCAGTCAGTGCACGGTCAGACATTCCTAAAGATTTTACAGAGACTAAGCGCAAGAAGAAATTGTCGATGTCAGACATAAGTGGACTCCAGGTATCTTGAAGTGAAGAGACACCCAATCGCTGCCAATCACCTAACGCTAGCTCAAACCCCAGAGCCTTCCAGTAGCTTAAAAGCACCTTATATTGAGGGTCGTCTTTGGACTTGTGTGAAAATTTTTAACCTAAATTCACAAAAAGTTAACTGAACTGTTGTTTCTTCTTTTGCTTACTCATCGGAGTGGAAACCTCTTTTCTTCTTTATTCCGTGGAATATATTCTATTAGTCGCCTATTTCGTACAGCCGAGGTCGGTTTCCCGTCTGTGGTGTTCTGCGTTGCTATTACATAAAGGACCATAATTTACATATTTACCATTTGGTTGGTCAAGTGTGGACTTAGAGCGAGAGTTTTTGAAGTCTTTACGTTTGTGTGCTTTAATCCCTTACAGAAAGAACTGAAAAGATTTTGAAATTGCGATCCATAAAGGACTTGTTTAGATGATTAGAAGATACAGCAGGGCTCTCTCAGTTGATTTAACTATCAAATATTCCAAAACGTTTTTGAAATGTTGTTCCTAAAGCGACCTATTTTTCTTCGACTCCGTCGTAGTCTTGCATTGGGACATCTATTTAATCTTAAACGAATGAGGATTTGGCTTTACTCGCTCTACTGCGGTTAATTCAAGTCGATGCTATGCAGGACCGGGTAGTCTCGCTTTGAAAGTACGTCTCCAGATCACCTAATGGCCTTCTGCAGCAATGTACCCTGTTCTTAAAACCTTCCGCGAATCGCCGACTTTCATCGTAAATTTTTGCCATTTTCTATTGCTCTTTAGATATTTGATATCGTCTTCGTTATAACGAAAGATTTTAATCAAGACTTCCGTATCTTAAGAAAAAAAACTAAAAAAAATTTATTGAAAAAGTTGAAAATCGGAATATTTCAAAGATAATCGGTGAGTTTTCCCCAGATTTAATTCATTTATTAGGCTTATCTGATAGTTAAATTAAATTTACCACTTAAAAGAAAAATAAATTATATAAATAAATTTTTTTTTAAACTTTTCGACTTTAGTAATCTGGAATGAATTTTTTTTTTTTAAATTTATTATTTCACTTAAAAAAATATTTTGACTTAAAATAATTCAGACCAGAACCGAAAAAAAGCGCTCTAAAGTATTGTGATCTTAAAAAATATATGTATGTAGCATAGCAACTTTTCAGTTCAAAAGTCAACAAAATAAAAAATTTAAATAGACTGGAACATTTCCATTTTATAACAGTACAGTTTTGGATAATTAATCCTTTAAGGTCTTTCACCGCTAATTTAATGGTTCTAATACATTATACTACATATATATGTAGATAAAAACGTACGTACATTCTTATAATATACACATATAAATATACTCATGCATACATATAAACATATATCGAAACATACTTACATGCATAACCCATCTATACGATGATATTAACAAAAACAGAATCCACTAACTCCGTTGGGTGGAGCTAAAACCGGTTGAGCATGTACTCACACAAGTCATCATCATGGGTGGAGTCAACTTGTACACATGTACATATAGTATGTACATATGTATGTTGGTTTGCTGCTATACATTGCAATGCAGATCGCATTCCGTCAGGTAGCAGATATGCAAATGACCACCTTACTTGCCTTATCTATATGTGCATGTGTATATTAAACGAGATGATTTACATATTTAAAATATGGTGAGCAGCATAAATGAAGAAGATGGAGAAAAACAGGTTTCAATGTTTCAATTTTACGCTCTGTTTGGTCGCATCACGTACTCAGTTAGGTAGGTGTCCGCTTATTGAAGAACACCTAACGGCCGCTGCTGTTGCTGTTGCTGCTGCTGTGTGGTTGGTTGTTGACAGTTAGTGAGGGAGAGTATTAGAGCACACAGTGCGCTGTTATTGGTGCGATCCTCTGCTCGCAGCCGCTGTCATGTTTTCATTGTTGGAGAAATATTACACATGAAATATTAAATAAAAAAAAATATTTAATAATACAAATGAAGTGAAATCAAGTAAAAAATAAAATAAAATATAATTTAGCAAAATAAAGCTGACTAAAATAAAATTAATATAAAATCAAATAAAAGGGTAGAAATATAATAAAACAAAGTAAAATAAAAAACAATTAATAAATAATAAACGAGTATTTACTAAATTAAAATTAATTAAATATATTATAATAAACTTGAAGAAAATAATATAAAAATAAAAAAATTATGTAAAATACAATAGAATATATTGTATATCAAATAAAACTTATTTTAATTAAAATTATTATAATAATATATACTAAATTAAATGAAATTAAATTAAATAAACGAAAAAATTTTGAATCATATAAAATAAAACAAATCTTAGCAAAATTAATTAAAAATAAATAAAATATTTAATAGAGATTAAAGAACGTCAGGTAAAACCAAATAAGTAAAATTAAAATAAAAAAAAATTGTACAAAGTGAAACAATGAAAATAAAATAATGTAAGCAAATTTTAATTAAACAAATTAAATTAAAATAAAACAAAAAATGCATAAAACAGCGTACATTAAAATTAATAATTTGAAACATTAATAAACAAAATTAATTAAAATTAAACAAATACATATGCAATAAAAGTCAATTAAACATTATTTAAAAAATCAAATATTTAAAATAAAGCAGCAAAATTAAATAAGAAAAAATAATTTAAATCGAACATAAAGGATTTTAACGTAAAAAAATAAAACAACTAACAATAAAATTAAAAAACTAAGTAAATTTATTATAATTAAAAAATTTAAACTAATTAAATTATTGTATATAAAAAATTAAGTATTAAAATATAAACAAAAATTTAAATTAATAAAAAATAGGTAAAATAATACGAAAAAATCAATAATTTAATTGTTTAAGTTTATTCAAATAATTCATTAATTTCAACAAAACAATAAAAATAAATTATATACGAAAAAAATTATATAAGGCGCAAAATAAAATTATATGAAATAAAATGTAATGAAAAATAAATAAGTATAAAATAAAATGAAATCAAATAAAGTGAAAATATAATGCAAAATAAAATAAAACAAAATAAAATGAATTAAAATAAAATGAATTAAAATAGAATGAAATAAAATAAAATAAAATAAAATAAAAAAATAAAATAAAATAAAATAAAATAAAATAAAATAAAATAAAATAAAATAAAATAAAATAAAATAAAATAAAATAAAATGAATTAAAATAAAAAGAAAAAATGAAATGTTGATAAATAAAATAAAATGATATAAAAACCAAAAAGAATTTTTTTTAAAATATTATATAATAAAATAAAATCAAACAAAATGAAATTAAATTAACTTTATTGATATTTATATTTTATATATTATATATATTATACATAAAATTAAAATTAAATTAAAAAAAAAAATTGAAAAAGTAAAACAAATGATATAAAATAAACAAATTTAAATTAAAATCAATTAAAATACAATATTATATATTATTTAAATAAAGAATTAAAATAAAAACAAATTTTAATTTAAATTTAATAAAGAAAAAAATTAAATTTTTTTAGCCAAATTTAATTCATTTTTTAATTTATAAAAGTAAAACTACCTAAAATAAAATAAAAAAGTAATAAAAAATTAAAATAAAGACGAACTCGAAAGAGGATCGCAGTTCAAAACCTCCTTTCGGTAGAGAGCTCTTCATTGCGTTCCAGCTTTCTTCTTATATGTATATACTAACATTTGGTCGTAAAACATACAAGACTTCGTTAGCAGCATTTTTTAAAGCTTTGTGTCTATTTATGTATAAAAGACTTGAGTTGAGAGCTTTTCCACTATCTTGGGTGCTGCTTTTCTGTCCTTGTGTGCCCTGACGGAGAGCCTAATGGGTTTGGGGGAGCAGGTCACCTGTTCTTGTCGCTACAGACGATTTAGCGGAACTCAGCGGATTGGGGCTGGGCGCCTTTCCCGTGTAGGGTTTTGCGCTGGCCCCTCTCCCCTGTAGTACTTTGGCCTGTGCGAGCATGTCCAGACGGGCCTCTCGGGACCCAGCTGGCGTTTGTTCCTTACCCCCGAGAGGCGTCGGCTTCTTTCCAGCTGGTGGTTTTTGCTTTCTCTCTTGAGGTATCCGGGAGGCTCCGTTCGAATACAGTCGGGCGTCTCTGACTGCAAACCGGGATTAGGGAGAAGTGCACGCTCGACACCCTCCAGGTCTAGATCCGTAGAGTTCGGTTGGTTTAACAAAGCCACCTCTGGAAAGATGCGATTAGTCATCGTGCACTAATGGTCTTAGTATGGGAGAGGCTATTTTGCCCCTAAAGGTGGCTGTATTCCGCTTCATCATACCCTGCCTCAGCTTAGCCGCTCAATACTGGAATAGCAGATCTGGAAACCATTTTCAGCTCTCTTAAGAAATAAGTTTTCTAATAACCCCTCGACGAGGCCTTCATTTACTTGTAGCTGTCTAAAATCCCCATAATAAAGAGCCGGTGTAAACGGAATTTGTAATATTGTTTTCCGTAAGCTTGGTGAACGAGAAGCTACTTACTACTAAGAGTACGCCTTTCTAGAAGTCAATGACCCCCAACTATCCTAGATTTTTATTAACTAATTTTCACAAATCTCTCATTTCAGGCCCACGAAAAAACACATAAATCCCCACGCTATGAGTGTACTGATTGCGGTAAAGGATTTTCACAGCTACGCAACTACAAATACCACCTCTCAGTGCATCGCGGCACCAAAGAGTTCGCCGCGGAGTGCCCGGAATGCGGTAAAACATTCAACGATAAAGGCTACCTCAGCAGTCACATGAAGATCCATCGCAACAAGAAGGAGTACGAATGTCCCTACTGCCCCAAATCGTTTAACCAACGCGTAGCGTTCAACATGCACGTGCGCATACATACCGGCGTTAAGCCGCACAAGTGCGCCGAGTGCGGCAAGCGGTTCTCACGGAAAATGCTACTCAAACAGCACATGCGCACCCACAGCGGCGAGAAACCGTATCAGTGCTCGGTATGCGGGAAATCATTCGCCGATCGCAGCAACATGACACTCCATCATCGATTGCATTCAGGTGAGTTTGTTAGCAGCGGCATGAGCTTAAGATCTTTCCTCCATTCAGACGCAATAATTAAGTGTAGTTATTTATTTCAAAATTAATTTCTTTTCTTTCTTTTCCTTAACTGTGCAGGCATTAAACCGTTTAACTGTCCCATTTGTCCGAAAGCATTCACCAAGAAGCATCACCTCAAAACCCATCTCAACTATCATACCGGCTGCAAGCCGTACGTCTGCCCGCATCCCAATTGCAATCAGGCATTCACACAGTCCAGCAACATGCGTACACATGCCAAGAAATGTCAATATCGACCACTGCAATTACCCTATCCGGTCGCGTCAGCAGCGAGCAGTACATCAAATGCGATTTCATCAGCAACACCATCCACAATGACATTACCCACTGCCGCGACATCATTAACACCAATTGTGTCACGTCTCGGTATGCCAACCGCGCCGCTAGTGAGTGGCATTGGAACGAGTGCAAATGCGGCACACAGTGCAGCGGCGTCGACGTTGACAAGCAGCACAACGGCATCGTCACACATTCCAAATTTGTCCACAGCCCTGTCGGCTGGCATGCGTATGTTATCCGCTGCATCGACAGCAGTAGCAGCAGCAGGCGCAGTTACTTTGCCTAGCGGTACCACATCCGGTGGCCACAATGTGGCTGCACAACAGTCGCTTTTGCCATTTCCGCCTGCGCAACAACCGTTAATGGGCACACTGCGACCGTTTTAATTGCAGCTGAAGCAGTTAAATTTAATTATTATCATTATTTTTGCTTTAAAACGAGAAGATGTGAATTTATATAAATTTATTTATAGTTTTTTTAAATTTTTTTATTTAAATATTTTTTTAACATTTATTTTTATTATATTTTAATTTTTTTTTTATTTAAATATATTTTTTTAACATTTTTTTATTATTTTTTTTATTTTTTTTAATTAAATATTTTTTTTAACAGTTATTTTTATTACTTTTAAACTTTCTTTTACTTAAAAATATTTCTTTTGACATTTGTTTATTATTTTTTATTTTTTTTTTAATATTTTTTTAACACTTATTTATATTATTTTTTATTTAAACATTTATTTTTAATTTTTTTTTTAACATATGTTTTTATTATTTTTTTATTGAAATATTTTTTTTAACATACGTTTTTTTTACTTTTGAATTTTCTTTTACTTAAAAACATTTTTTTTTTGACATTTTTTTATTATTTTTTAATTTTGCTTTTAAATATTTTTAAATATTTTTTTAATACTTATTTTTATTATTTTTTATTTAAACGTTGTTTGGAATTTTTTTTTAACATATGTTTTTATTATTTTTTTATTTAAATATTTTTTTTTTAACATTTATTTTTATTACTTTAAATTTTCTTTTACTTAAAAATATTTTTTTTTATTACTTTTTAATACCTAAATTTATTTTTTTTTATTTAAACATTTTTTTTTTATTTTTTTTTTTAACATATGTTTTTATTATTTTTTTATTTAAATATTTTTTTTTTAACATTTATTTTTATTACTTTAAATTTTCTTTTACTTAAAAATATTTTTTTTTTATTACTTTTTAATATTTTTTTAAATATTTTTTAATAGTTTTTTAATACCTAAATTTATTATTTTTTATTTAAACATTTTTTTTTTATTTTTTTTTTTTAAATTTGTTTTTATAATTTTTTTATTAAAATTTTTTTTTTTAGTTTTTTTTATTAAAATATTTTTTTAACATTTATTTCTAATTTTTTTTTTAATTTTTTTTTTTTAACATTCTTTTTATTTTTTAATTTTTTTTTTTAATATTTTTTTAATACTTATTTTTATTATTTTTTATTTAAACATTTATTTTCATTTTTTTTTATTTTTTTAACATTTGTTTGTATTATTTTTTAGTTTTTTTATTTAAATATTTTTTTTTAATTTATTTTATTATTTTTAAATTTTTTTTTATTTAAATATATTTTTTTTAACATTTATTTCTAAGTTTTTTAAATATTTTTTTAACATTTGTGATGTAGCTTAAAATAGTTTTAAGAAAATACTCTTTCTAATAAATAAATAAATATATAAATATCGATAAATGCACATACAAATATATAGAGCAATATGTATGTACATATATATTATATATATTTATACCAGAACCTAACAAAAACAAAATGGCGTGTACTTAGTTACCTTTTATGTTAATAAATCATATACTAGTACATATATTTATATATGTATATGCATTAAATGTCAAACATAATCTTTTTAATCATTCATCATATAACGATCTTCTTGAAAATTAGAAAGATTATCATAACCACTAGTTAAGATAGGCGGTGCAGTGGGATATAGGAGCTCTTCTGGGTACACCGAATGCCTAACTTTGCCGTCCACGTCGCGCACTCCAGAAAAGGAGCAGCTCCTGTAAAAGATGTGGTTAGCCACCCGTGTGAAGCACTGGTTTTTGGTTGGTTGTACTAAAAGAGAGGCAGCTGCAGTGGAGCTATATATCGGTCGATTTTAGGGTTCACTTAAGTTTCATTGCAGCATCTTTTGCCCAGAAGTGCGAATCCAAACAGGTATCAAACTTGAAGCAATGAACTCTTTTTATAGTTGCATTCCAACTAGTACCCTCACTCGTCATCGAGATTCTGTGCTGGGTTTGGAATTCATACAAATGAGCTCCAATGACAAAATCAAACAAAATTTCATATGAGAGCTTTCAATTTTCATAAGGACGCCGACAAATATACCAAGGAGTACGATTCGACGGCACAACGTAAGGTGGCCTAATTGGAAAGCTGCTGCTGCTCGGCTGGACTGATACCCTCTAGGGCTTAAGGCTGATGAACTCTTCCCAACTTCCTTCCTCTGAACCTATACGGGAAACTACAAGCGAGCAGCAATGCTACCAGATTGAATGCAACTCAACCTCGGAAGAATTGCAGTGTAAGACACGAAAATCCCAAACAGATCAGAGACGCATGGCAGACGAACTGGCGAGCGAAGGAACCCTCTACCCACCATGAAACATGCACACGATGCTGGTTCACCTCTGACCACAGCAAAGTATATACTTGAGCTGACCTTTCGCTGAACGAGATCACATGCAACGAGAGCAGACTACTATGGCTGAAGTTCGATGCGATGCGATAAAATCGAAACATCTTATCCTTTTTCACCGGTTTTTCTTTAATATTACAACAGAAATAATAACAGTCCATTGTTTAATGGGTCATCACGGGAGAAGAATGGGTTATGACTTAAATTATTTTTGACATGCTGTAGGGACGAAAAAGAGGGGGAGTGTAACGAGCACGACTGAGCTATCCTCAGCGAAAATTGTATAAGGCACACGAAATGGTTTGATCACAGCATTATCGCAACAGAGAGCCTCACAGCGGTATTGCAACATCAACCGCATCAGCTGAATTCAACTCAAGGCTAAAGAAGACTGGCATTACCATCGTTCGAGGATTGTGGCAACGTGTTGGCAACTCCTTCGGTGTGGGGGTTCATACCATGTTATGGTATGCCTGATGAAAGGAGACTATTTTTAAGCCTACACGACGAAATCTCTCCAAATCGCCCACGCCAAGCCCGAAATAGGTTTGTCTGTAGCACCAAAATCTGTAAAAAAAAAATTCAACAAACCGCATGGCTTTTACCTCATTGAAAGACACGAAACCTAATCGATAACCTTTCGATGGACGGACGAAGTATCAGTGTTCTACATATACATACGTTCCGAAAGGCCTAACATGAACTCGGATAACTATCTTGTCGCAGCGAAGATATGCACCCGCCTCTGTTCAGCATGGACCGACCGCCAACGAACACAAGGAAAGTTCGACGTCCAAATCTGTGATCACAACAGACGGTAGAATTGAAGAGGGAAGCAAGACACTTTCACAGAAGTGAGATGGCGAAATATGTAAATATATGAAGAGCTTAAGAAGTTTGCCGACTGTGGTAAGGCAGAAGGTTTCAAGATCGTAGTATTCTCATGTAGGAATGGTAGAGACCATCTCCTGACCTATGTTCAAAATATTGTTAATTTCATGGAGAGAACACTTCGAGCATCCACTCTATGGGGTGGGAACCCTAGCTTACCGGTTTAGTGGAGGTATGAAAGCAGGCGCGACAATTGGACATTACCACCATTGCTTTTTACGCAGGTGTTGAAGCCCGGAGAGTTTTTTGATGTCATACTCAAAGTAGTTTCCAACCACTCACTTGTCGCGGACGGTTTCCGATAAGCGAAGGTTTCTAATATGGTTTTGTGTTATCTGGAAAACTGGAAATTTGCAGAAACATCACAGAAGTATCGTCCACAGTCAATCTCCGATCGTCAAGCAGCACATTTCGATTTTCAGGCATCTCAACAGTTATAATTGAAAGTCTTCCGCTGCTCTGTTTACATATAGAGCCGTACGCTCAGTTTTAAGCTTTCACGCCCACTTCCTCTCCTTAACGTAAATCTCAAACGGAGATTATACCTTTCAAACGATATAACGGATGGCACTGCGGATTTTGCACTTGACGGCAGACTAAGTTGGCAGTGTACACGGAACGAGTTGTGGCATCGACATCTTGTCAACATGCCAAAAATATTGTAGTACCACCCGCTGTGAGAGTCACTATTCGCCGATTTTTTAGATGTAACCGCTGAGGTGATTGTTTCAGCCGAGCTCCAACTCCAATTTGTAGTATGGATTTGATATTTTCCAACAAATGGACGAACCCATAGTTTATTCTGAGTCGCCTGCGAACGGCTGTTGGATTTTTATGGGGAGCCTTTATTTCTTGTCAGAAATAGACGCGGCAAGCTTGACATTCCCTGCCGAAAGGCGAACGAAATTAAAAAAAAAATATTTTCGGATGTTGGTCGAACAAAGCTCTGTGGTATGCAGAACGGCAGTACGCAATGGTAGCCATTTGGTTATTGCAATTTTTTGGATATGTCTCGGTGAAAGCGCAAAAAACCGAACGTTAAGTGATGGAAGCACTCCGTTCGTAGTTTCAGTTGGAAAAGAAGCTGGTGGCAGCAGGTTCGTCATCAATGGGCATCGAAAGGCCAGGGAAAGCAACGAATTGTGCGCTGTTGTTACCTCGACTATATGCAAGCTGCCGAGCTTCAACGTTAATACAGAAGAAGAGGAAGAGATATTGATTTCATCGCCGTCAATCGAGTAAATCATAAATCCAAATTTCTCTCTCCAATTTTTATTTATTTATTTATTTAATGTTTCTAAGCAAGCAAGAATTCCCAAGCACGCGCACCGTCGGCAACTTAACTCTACATTATACGCCACTTTGTTCTGCATTAAAACAAATCTCCAAAATGTTGTCATCTCTTGTATTTATTTTCCAGGTTTTCCAGGCATTGCGATGCCGCACACGAAAAATGCATTTAAAGAGATTAATTTATATTTGAACTGTTCTATACTGCTATTACTTGGCTTATCGGCTGCCGCTGGCGTTTGGCTCAACGAAATACATGCATACATACATACACGTACATATATTTGTATGTATATACAGACGTGTACTTGCAGCAATTTCAGTTAGCAAAGTAGTAATTCATTTACGCAATCATGCAATCAATGAAGCATGTACATATATACAACTGTGTATATGTACATATTTTTTACCTTACTCATTCGTTGTAGTTGTATTTTTATTTTTTTTTTGTGTTTTTTTTTTGCTAACAAATCGAAGAGAATTGCCGACAATCGTTCATTT